CTCTAGCAAGTGATCTCCAAGGACACTCTTCTGGCCTTATCTGTATCCCACCCATCGGGACAGTGAGGCTTTGGTATGTCCCATTGGTGGATTATCCATCTCCTGTACTGGAGAAGGGGCGTTGGTCTTACCTGAATGCCTTTTCTCAGTACGGAGATGGAGAATCCACACCCACCCTAGGGTCAATTAGGCCATTATTTTTTTAGGGAAATGAGAACCAATACCTCGCCAACCTTCAGCCACTTCGCCCTCGTTAAGAATGGGTCCCAAGAGGGGGCGTGTCAATTTGGCTGCTTGGTCTCAAGAGCAGGCAGACAGAGAAAACCCATTGGTGGATTCTCCATCTCCGTACTGAGAAAAGGCGTTCAGGTAAGACCAACGCCTCTTCTCTTGACGTATAAAGCTCCCACCTTGCTTTTTTCATAAAGTGGTTAAAACATTTTATTCTGATGACCGGCTGGTGCAGGTAGTGGCCCTGAGCTGCCTTTATAGTTTCTGGGTTTTCTATGTGTGATTCTGGATTAAGTTGATTGTTTTCATTCTACCTGTTTTTAGTCTGATTTTTAAATTATAAGATGCTGAGTCTTTTGATATGGGGGATATGCAAATATTTGTATAATAAAGACAAATATTTGGGCAGAAATGAGAGAGCAGCTGAGAAGAAGAAATGGGAAATAGATCAATTTTCTGAAAATATGGAAGGAAATCTATATGGGCAGATTCTGTGGCTGTCTGCATCTGCCATTTGCAAGCAGATTCCTCTTACAACTGAGGAGATGCAATGTTCCCTATTGAGGCATAACCTGGGAGAGAACTGGAAAAAAAAAAACCTGAGGTATGGAATTACAAGGTGCTATTTCCCTTGGGCTGTTCTCTGCAAGTGCTAAGAGCTTACTGTATAATAAACCCTTGAGATTATGAGAAAAGCCCAAGAATAATTCCTCAAATGGTGCTGTTAAAACATGTACATACTGTACAGGCTTAATGGAAGAATTTGGCTCTTTTAACAGACAGGTAAATACTTAGCAATGTCTTTGCTGCTTTTCAGTACCTTATCTTCTTCTCTGTAGGTTTTTAAATGAAAACAAGCTTAGGCCCCAGGTTGCTTTCATTGCATAGGAAAAAACAACAACTAGCCACCTTCTTGCTCATGCTCTCTAGAACAATCCTTTAATGGCCCTTTGCAGCCTTTCCACGCAGTTATTTTAGAACATGCTTATTTTGAATCTATTTATTTTCCTTTCCTTGTATTGTTCTTTCTTCCTGGAAAAATTTCTTAAGAGTAAGCCATTCTTGGAGGACTCTGTTTTTTTCTTCTGTACAAAGTATAGTGAGTTATAAATCCATGCTGATAATGGATGAGGGTGATGCAATAGCAGTAATAACAGGTAGTAGAAGAAATTGCTCTTCTGCTTAAACTGGCAGCAGCAGCCTTGCATTTATGGTGCTATGTTAGTCCGACAATTCCACCTATATCGGAAGCCACCTAAACAAGATGTTTGAAACAGGAAAGGATGGAAGGCTGCTTACATTCCCTTTTCCTTTCCCCCCTTTTACATCTCCATGTACATGTGTGTTGGATTTTTTTTGGTTTGTTCAACCACAGGTTTTTTTAGATCAGTGGAATTATGGTTTATGAGCACTTCCTAGTTAGAATCAGTTCTGCTTCCCTTTTCTGTAATTCAGGTCAGTGGCAAAGTTGGCAGCTGCCTGGGTAAATAATCTTTAAAAACCATTAAATGAGCAAAAGAGTATAAAGAACAATTAACATTGCAGTTATTCCACTCATGGGTAGTCCTCATTTAAAACTCTACCATAGCCCTATCTGTTTGCTGCTTTTTTTAGTAACTTACAAGATCTCCAGGAAGAAGAGGACAAATTCTGCTTGATGTTGGCTGACCTTGAAAAGCTAAACAGAGTTGAACTTGGTTAGTTGTTGGATGGGAAATCACCAGAAAATTCCAGGACTGAGTACTAAATTGGGAAGTTGAAAAGAACATCCTGAAGAAACCAAAAGCAAACAAACCATTACTGTATTCTCCCCTTCATGGATATGTCTATGAAATCATCAGGGGTTGAACTTGACTTGAAGAAAACTTTACTTTTTTTGATCTGTGAAAAGGGGTACGGGGACCAAAAGCTTGGCATCATGACTTATTATGACAATTGTTAGAGTTCAAGGCTGGTCTTAATATGATGAAATCAGGAATAAAATAAATGTGTCTACAGCCTGATTGTTGAGATTAATTTAAAATGCAGAACATGTACTTATGCTTGACATGTTGATTAGAAACCAGGAAATATCTACATGAAGTCAGCTGTGTGAACAGGGAGCATGTACTGGATCACAACTTATTTGACTTGTTTTATTATATTTCAGTTCTGTTCTACAGTGGTCTAAATTATGCATATATCCAAAGAATAAAGACTCTAGATATAGGTGTCTTATAAATTTCAATGACATAAAATTGCATGTGTAATGTAATTATGTTGTAATCATATAAATAAAATTATTTTATAATTTCCATCATGACATCTGATGCAAATAGGAAAGTAAACAATCATATCTCACTCCTCGGTTGACCTGGAGCCAATCTGTTTCACCATGTTCTGTCCTGACTGGCTTCTTGTCTGGTGGTTTTGCATGAGGAGAGTGAGATGGTCTGGGCTTCCCATTTTCCTAAGCAATTGCTCAGCTTGTCATGGTTGACATAGTCAAAGACTTTTCTATAATCAATGAAGTATATACTGACTTGTCCTTATTATTCTTTGGCTTTATTATACAGCATGCATTGGCAATAATATCTCTTGTTACATTTTTTACAACAATTTGTTCTAATCTTTTCAAAGATCAAATCTACTGGGAGTTTCAGAGATCATGAGATTACGAATTTTGGATTCATTCCATCACTTTAGAAACGCATTTTCCCTAACCCCTTCTGAAAGAAACTTTTAAAACTAGAAATGTGAGAATGAATGAGAATCAGTGTGGTATAATGGTAGAGTTGGACTACCACTGGAGAGATCCAAGTTTAAGGCCACTTTTGGCCATAGAATTTGACTGCATGTTTTTTAATCCAATAACTTTCAGATGAGTCTTCCTTTATAGCATGGATGTCAAACTTGATCGTGTCATGAGTCGTATCATGATGTATTGCAATGTTTTTTGCCTTTGCGGAGCTGGAGTGGGCTTGGCCTGCATGTGACGCAGGCCACCAGTTTGACACCCCTGCTTTACAGGATTGTTGTGGGGGAAAATGAGAAGAGGGCTCTTTAGGATTCTGAAGGAACTGTGAGATAAAAATCCAATATATAAATATTACCTTAATTTTATTACTATTTTATATTAATGAATGTTGCAGCCCCTGTCCTATGGAACACCTTCTCCTTTGATATTTGACAAGCCTCCACGTTTTTAACTTTCTGAAGCGCACTTAAAAAAAAAAACCCCTCACTTCCCCCCCCCCCCAAGCATTGGAATAGGGTGAAGTCAGAGCCAGATGAAGAAATTGTTGAAATGTTGTTGTGGTGCCTGATTTTTCTGTGGTGTTTTTTTTGTTTTACTTTTCATTTTTGCTTTTCTGGTTGTATATCTTGTTTTTATTGGTTGTAAGCCCCCCAGAGGCTTTAAGACGAACAGCTACACAAATGTTTAAAACAGATAAATAAGACTAGAATAAATGGTTTGATCCTTGTGAATGATTTATTACATAGGATACATTGGGAAATGCAACCTATTCATTCTCTCTGACCTCATACGTTTTTTGATACCATCAATTCTCACATCATACTGAGTTGTCTTGTTGGGGTAGGATTTGGATTCATGATATTATAATCAACTAGATCCCTTTCGATGGCCCCATACTTTTCATTATTCCAGCCCTGCCCATGGTTATTGGCACATGATGGGGCTCGGAGTTATATTTCGATCCCATGCTTTTTAACATCTGTAGTGCAGTAATATCTGCTGGTAAATGAAGCCAGGACTGCTTTAACTATCATTGCAGAGGTGATAGGACAACAGTGTCAGCTTTTGTTTTCTCTAACTAATTGCAAGGAAATTATAAAAATCCCGAATTTGAGGATGAATGAGGGTAAACGAACTGAGGTTTAATTCAGAAGGGGAGAAATGAGTTCTCCTAGAAGGAATATGTGTGAAGATGGGAAAGCAATATAGTGTTGAAAACAATAATACTCTTAATGAGGGATCCTATGTGCAGCTTGGGAGTTCTACTGAACTCAATGTAACCTTGAAATTTGCAGATCACACCAACAACAGGGATGCAGCTCTTCATCAGCTGCATCCCTATCTGATTATATCCAGACCAGAGTATCATAACATGTTGTAAATGAAGTTGTCTTTTAGAAGATACTGGAAACTTCAGCTAGTTACAGAATTCAGCTGTCCAATTATTGCAGGGGTAAAATTTTCAGAAAAGATAACACTAATCCTGTACCTTTTGTATAGCTTTCCAGTGTATTCCCAGGCCCATTTTAAACAGTGAATATTACCATAGAATTACAAAATGAACTTTTCCAGTCCTTAAGATTAGCCATTGAAAATCTGTGCTTAAGACTTTTTTTTTTTTCCAGCAGGCATATCTTTTTTATACTCTCTCTCTTTCTCTGTCTGGCTTTTCCCTGAACCTAACTTTATTTTAAATGTGCATATTTTTATTCTGATTAATTTTAAATCATTTTAATGAACATAAATTTAATAATAATAAATTCTGTTGCTTACTAGGTACATGGTGAGAATTAACTGCATGGGGATAGGGAGCCACGAGGAGGAAAGTTGTTTTCTCCTAGCCATTGGGAATCCATTGCATGTGCTTTTCAATTGATAAAGAATTACTATCATTACTATCACTAATTTCTCTGTTGTTGATAATCCTGAAGATTTGAGATCCCTTTGTTATGGAATAATTTTATTATCTGGTGAGCTGAAATGATATCCGACCACTAATTTCTTATTTTTCTATTCCTGTATTTTTCCATAGCCCTTACAAATAGATGACAATTTCTGTGGGCAAGATTTTAACCAACCGTTGGGTGGAACTGTCACCATTGAAGGTGTGCCACTGTTTGTAGACAAGGAAGATGGCATGACTTCTGTGGCTGCTTATGACTACCATGGACACACAGTTGTTTTTGCTGGTACACGAAGCGGCAGGATAAAAAAGGTAAGACACTTGGAGGTCTTGTTATGTTGTTTAGTAGAGTCCTATTGGCCCTTAAAATGGGAAAAAAAATTCCCTGGGCCTCTGTCACATTGTTAAAAAGAATGAAGTAATATCCACTTGCACATATTTTCTTATGATCTTGAAACTCGTTTTCTGAGGACTATCTTTAACCTTCATCTTGAGTGTCTTTACTTCTTTAATTTGTGGGTACCCTCTTAAGAAGGCTGTATTTTAATGTGCAGTTTGATTCTACATAGCAGAAGTCTTGTTCTGTACAATTTGCATTTCTTGTGAACTAGATTCTTTTCATGTCATAAAACTGATTTAGTAAGAATCCAAAGATAAATAGCAAAGAAAAGATTCAATTGGTCAGTTATATTAAGGTATACATAGAGAAAGCTTCCTTCAGTTTAAAGGATTTGGGCTGCTGTAGAAATTTCACTGAATATTATTTCTTCTCTGATGGTGTTTTCATTAAGTTGCTGTGCTACATTTTTTTAAAAAAACAATCATAATCTGCAGTGTTGTTGCAAGCATTTGGCTCTGTTACACAAGGCAAACACATTTCCCTGAGGACGATGGCTCTGCTGTGTCAGCAGGAACCCAGGAACTTTGATAACTGCACAAACAGGCTAAGAATACCCTGATGTACATGATTTAAACCATCTGTGGGCCAAAGTCCACAAAATAGAGAGAACTCATCCTTCCACAGCTATACAAAGGCTTCTTGTTGTTCATAATTAGCAAACAACTATATGCTGTTTCCCCAGTATCTCCACAGAACATGGATTTCCTGTTATCATAACATCATTCCTATAATTACATCTGGATATTTCCCATGTAAACACAGCCGGTATTAACTGCATCTTCAACCTGGCAGAATTGTATTTAGGGCTCTGGCAGGGGTCTGCATGAAGCACCCAACCTAGCAGGGGGCTTTTAAAAGGCTGAGACATGCTGGTAAGTTCTGAATTAAGGAATGTGAGGAAGTTTGAGCTGCTTCTTGCCTTTGATAGTTTTTTCTTCCCTCAGTTAAGCTTCTAATTTTCAAAGATTACAAGTATATTCTAGCGTGGAAGTCATCGTAATTCCTTGTGAATATGAATGCAGAGGGAAAGGCATAGGGTAGCTAAATGTATACCCTGCAGTGTGAAGATGGGCTGAATTAGTCATTGGGAAGAGCAGGATTCTTGTACAAAATTATGCATATTGTAAATGCATGTGGCCATTTCTGGAAATCAACATTTCTGCAGGAGACTTTGTTTGCACAAGATTGTCACAAGATCATGGGTTTTGCCACGTGCACATTTGACAGGCAGTCCTCACTTTCCTCATTTCGTCTACCTATGCGATACACATTTGCAAACATGTATTGGCACATTTATATATTTTTAGTTTTATGCCCAAAGAAAGGAATTTGTGACTTAGGGAACGAAATTAAGAAGAAAAAGAGCAGCAGCTACAGCTTTGGATACAAGAAGGAGCCTCACTCTGTTGTCAAAAGTTTGATATAGTGCTGTATGAAAATGCATGTTAATGTGGCTATGCCGTTTTCTAGGTTGCTGTATTCCACCTCTGTCACTGAATTAGTCATTATTCATTGTTTCTTGAATTCCCCCTCCTTTTAGGTATATTTTCCATCATCACTAACATCCAGACATCACAAGTACAGCAAAGGGACAATTGTTTTTTCAGCATTCTGTGATGCCAGGGAACATTAGGACGTTCCCATTTTAATAAAGAAAAAAATAGAGGCATTTATTCGTACAAGGTCACCTTCCTGTCACACATTAGCCGGGGAATAACTGGATGTTATGCCACTTTGTTCCTAAGCCAGCAAAGAAGGCTCCCCCTTTCTATGACAGTGCCCATAGCGATGGAACATTCTGTACACTGAATTTTCTGTCTCTTTCACTTCTTGGAGTTATCAATCTGTATGCTGCGATTTTCAGGGCAGGAAATGGGTATCTATTTCTTACTGCTGCAGATTGAGAGCAAGCAAGATGCTGATTTCCCATTTTGTGGATGTGGAAGGCTGGGGCTGGCCCAAGGCCAAGCTGAGGGCTATTTTAGGAGATGTGCTCAACACATTGTAGATCTATTGTAAGTAGAGAATGAATGAGTGGATCTTGAAGCTTTTTACTTCCAGCCATAGCTACACAACACTAGAAAAGCTATGAAGCCCTAAGGTTGTAGTACTCTAATAGTATGGAAAGCTATGTGTTGTGTTCTACAAGTACAGTTGTGCTGCTGTGGCTTCATTTCTTTACATCCAAACTTTTTTTGTTTACAAGTTTGCACTTAAAATGGGGATAGAAATCTTCTCCAGCATGATGAGTGTAGAATCCACTGGTGGGTAATCTCAGTCTTCTTGCTTAGATGAGACTAAGTCAGAACTTTAGCCACACCTCCCTCTGGGTGTGTCTTTCCAGTTATTAACTTAGTCTCAGCTCAGTAGGATGCAATTTTCTTGGCTCCTCAGTTAGACTAGGTTAATTATTTAGATTGATTTCATTAATTGAGTTCTTTGCATTCAGAAGTCTTCTAAATTTACTGTAAATTATTCCTTTCTTAAAATTTGGATTCAAATTGGCAAATTCATTGGATTGCTGCCCAGGCCTTTTAGGCTTCAATGAGCCTAGTAAGCTCCTGTGGAGCCGAAACCAGGCTGCTCTGAAGCGGTTTCTAGCTCCGGTCCAGCTGATCAGTGGGAGTGCCGGATCAGCAGAATAGCTGGCTTGCGGTTCCTAGGAATCCCTCGGAGCTCGAGCAGACCAGAGGGCCTCTCTTGGTTCATTTTCAGTGCCACAAGGTTCCATTTGAAGCACGTGGCTTTTCGGATCGCAGCGGAGGCTGCGCGACTTAACTGCAAGTGTTCTGATGAACGGGGGAGAAGAGGCCTTAGACTAAATTTTGGGATCCCTTAGAGCCCTTCCTTCCAGGGGGCCCAAATAGCCTTTCTTTTCACCCTTGCTTAGTGCAGATGCCATTTTAGGACAGCCTAAACAGGTGCGGATGCCATTTTGAATGCCTTTTCAGGCGCGGACACCATTTTGTAGGGTCCTCATGTTCCTCAAGAGTACAACTGGGCCTGCTTTATTTTGCCATCTCAGCCTGCTGTGACAGGCTCCTAGCGGGGGGACACATTTCAACGCAATTTCAAGGCAATTCTGTACATTATCAAGGCCAGTCAAAAGGGGCTGTCACCATTTTGTATTTACATTGTTTGATCTAACTACTCATTGAAGCGCAGATTTCATTTCTTTTGCTACTTGTATTAATTTAGCGAGGGGGAATTTATATTAGAATCCACCTGTTCCAATTAGTTTGTGGCGCTGTGCCACAAGGCCTAGACAGGCAGTTCTAGTGAACTGTCTGGCTATTTGCCATTGTTGTTGTTCAGAGCGTGGGATTTCCCTCTCTGATAACCAGATCTGCGTGTTTGGTTTCCCCCCATTTCTGGACATCTCCTACCTGGAATATCCAGAGTGCGATGGCAGAGAGTGCCTCGCCCCAGGGATCGCAAGGCTCTGATATTCCCCCCGCACAAGGAAAGCACAGATCATCTAATTTGGAAGCGGGGGGAAAGAAAAAGGCCAAGAAAAGGACCTCATCATCTAAAGAGCCCTCCAAAGCAGCCGAGCGAGAGGCGTTGAGGAAACATCAGGCGCTGGAGAGGGAGATCTCCAAAGTTCAAAGGCTCATGTCCAGTGAAGCTGAAGTGGTTCCCTCCGTTCCACTGGACTGTTCCCCATTTGAGCCTCCATATGCACCTTCCCATGATGCCCCTAGGGCATGGTCTCCTCAGGGGGGAACTGAACAGGTTGGTCCCCCTCGCTCCTCCTCTTACACAACACAACAGGGTCCTGAACCGTACCCCATAGAGGGCAAAGACAAGCGTAAGATTCTGGCACACCCCTCCAAGAAGTCAGATAGACGGCTTCAACAGGACTTTCATAGACAGACTTTCTGTTCAAGTGGTACCTGGGAGTGGAGGCAGCCCTTTCGGGCCAGGCAGTCCTGGGAATGGCCCAGAGGCTCTCGATCCTTTCCCCCTAGACAGGATTGCCAACAGGACTGCCAGAACACTGGAGCCAAGGGCCAATACCAGTCCAAATGCCCCTTCCGAGGCTCTGGGGGCTGTCCTTATAGACGGACCAAGTAACGCCAAGGAGAACTCTCCCATAGGCAGTCGCTTGTCGCTGTTCAGCGACATTTGGGAGGTTACCACCACTGACTCTTGAATGAGAGAGACCATAAGACACGGTCTCGCCCTAGAGTTCTTCTCAAATCCTCCAGACCGTTTCATACAGTGCCCTATCACAAGAAACACAACCAAGACAGAATTGGTAGCCATGGCCATCTCCCATTTGATAGAAATAAGGGCCATAGAGCCGGTGCCTCTGGAACAGAAAGGAGAGGGATTTTACTCTATTCTGTTCATGGTACCCAAAACCTCGGGGGGATGGAGGGCGATACTGGACTTAAAGGGTCTGAACTATTTTTTAACCTACAAGAAGTTCAAGGTGCAGACCGTAAAGTCCATTATGGCCAGCATCAGGAAAGGGGATTTCCTTTCCTCCATAGATCTGATGGAGGCATATTTGCACATCCCGGTTCTCCCAGAACACCACAGATTCCTTCAGTTTTGTTACATGCACCGGCATTACCAGTACAAGGCTCTTCCCTTTGGTCTCTCTTCAGCCCCAAGGGTTTTCACAAAAATTTTGGCAGTATTGGCGGCCCACCTCAGGATGATCCCGGTGCGCGTACAATGTTATCTGGACGATATACTTGTCCAATCCAGTTCTTTCCAGTCAGCTCAGTCAGACCTGGAAATCACTATCAATACTCTTCAGGATCACAGGTTTTCCATGAACTTCAAGAAAAGCCATACAATTCCTTCAAATCGCCTCCTTCATCTAGGCGCGATAATAGATTCGCATCTTTGCAAGGTTTATCTTTCACAGGAGCGCCGGATCAGCATCCAGAGGCTTGTC